CTGAAGTTTGAATTGAGTGTGAGAAGAAGACCAAAGACCTTGTCTTGCTCACGCCTCTCCTCAAGAGTGTTGGGATCATTAGTGTTTGGCCTTAGCATTTCCAATTCCGACCATAGCTGACTATACTTCCCAAGATGCTTGGTGAAGTCACTCTCCTCTTGCTGCAAATTGTTGATGGCTCTCTTAACTTCAAAGATTCGGGTCAGGTTTGAAGTATTGCCATACACCTTTCTCAAGGTATCCCACAACTGTTTTGGAGTTTCACATTGTGAGTAAGAGTCCATGATAGGACCATCAAGAGAGCTTTGCAAGATAGACAGCACCATGAGGTCTTCCTGATCCCATTTGCCTTCATCTACCACCACAATCTCCTTGCCATCTTCTCCTTGGGTGATTTGCCTTGGTGCAGAACTTGAGGTGATATGCTCCCAAAGACCTCTTCCTCCAAGGGCTGTTTTGGCCAATCTAGACCAAGTGATGTAGTTTTCTCCTCCCTTGAGAACAACAGGAATCTTGACTTGTATGAATTGATTCATCTTCAAAGAAACCAAGAAAAAAAACAGTCACTGAAATTTTATAACTCAAGAACACAGATTTCTTATCCACAAAATAAAGTAAATCTAGAAAGAAAATAGGAGGAGTAGATTGATAAATCAAATCGAAGAGAATATCAGAGTTAAATCGCGGAAGCAAAATAGGTACACAAGAGCTTATAGCTCTGATACCATGTAAGAAAGTGAAGCTTTGAGATTGAAGAACAAGAGAGAGATGAGAGAAAAGAGTAAAGAAGGAGAAACTTTTTCCTTAGATCTCAAAAAATAACGTTACAAAGAGTTATAGAGAGATAGAGTATTCTTATTCTAGTAACCAAACACACTTGGCTTACTAGAGAAGCTAGAATAAATAACTAATTTATTTATTTAATTCAATATGAACAACCACCACATATTTAACCAAACCATGGCCGCGTTAAGTGCAATTATGACAACTGCTCCGGCTGAGACGACTATCACCGCCTTGAATCGTAGAAGACAAGACGCTATAAGGATAACTGAAAATAACCACATCCTATTGATCACCATCTTCTATTTGTGAATTTGCTTATATATTTTACATGATCCTTGCTTTATTTTCCAACTTGAACGACTTGTTTCTATGGACAAATCTATAATATGGATGTGGCAATTTTATCATTATTATTTATTCTTTTAGATAGGGAACCGCATGGTGCAAAAATAAATGCAAATTAATTATCCAACTGCATGTGCATGATTTAGTTATTTTGGGAATTCAGCTTACCTAAGCATTTATATGAGTGAAATGACGTAATTTAGCTTAAGGTCAAACTAATCATTTCTTTTGGCTGATTTTGCGTGGTTATTTTGACATGTTCAGAGCTGAGGATCAGCGATGTAGATACATCCATCATACATGTAGATATTCACTAGCATGCAATGACCGTTATCTTTTATGATCATGTTCAGTAGTCAGTTATATGCAGCCCCTAGAGAATGTATTTTACGATCCCTTTTATCTGATAATCCACACAACATTTATAGATCATATATCAATACCGATCCGGTGATCATGCAATGTTTTGTAAACTCATTCTAATTTCAGAACAATTAGTCAAAAACTAGCTCCATGAACCAAGGAGAGAAAAGCTCTCTTCATCTAATTAAAACCATAACCAAAGACGCTTATATCAAACATATTATTTTTCATTTAAGTGCTTATATCAACATATTCTATCTCTGACATTAAACGAATAAACACAAGTCTTCATTGTCTTTGAGAAGAACGCAAGCCATGGATTCTTTAAGAAGCCAGGGTGGAATTCAGATGCTTTTAACTGCTGAACAAGAAGCAGGCCGGATAGTTTCAGCTGCTAGAACCAGTATAGTCTTTTTCTTTAACGGTTTAACCATGAGATTTTGGGGGTCTAAACAATTTAATAAGAATTTTAGAAAACAAAGTTTTAAGCAATTTATATCTATGTTCATATATTTAATTCGAAAAGCTTTGTGGGGGGGGGGCGCAAAAACCAATATGCTATTCACAAGATCACGAAAACTTTTGTTTTAAATATTTTCATCTTTTCCTTTTTATTTATTTTGATGGATGAATGGATGATCAGCAAAACTAGCAAGAATGAAGCAAGCGAAAGTCGAAGCTGAGAAGGAGATGGAAGAGTATAGATCCCGTTTAGAAGAAGAGTATCAGACACAAGTCTCTGGGGTAATCAGCACCAAAACAAAAACAAAAAAAAAATACTAGCTACTAAACTTGATTTTGGGATTATTTTTTAAACTAAAAAAGATTTTTTTTTACTTTCTAAATTTTATTTATTTTTCCTGAATTTATATCAATTTTTAGAATTTGGATTGATTTTTATTTATTATTATTATTTATAAGTAAACCACCACATCACCATTTTGTATCTTCTAATGAACAGTAATCATAACTTATAGAATAATATGTTATTGATACAAGTTTCATTGTTTAAAATGTTACCAGTTAAACTTTAAGGTTCAAAGTATAAACTTTTGTCAAACTTCGTGATTTTATGCAATTTTCCCCTTGATTTTGTACCAACTATCTACCTTCTGTTTCAGACAGAACAAGAAGCAGCTGTAAAACGTTTGGAAGAGGAGACAGACGGCAGGATCCAGACACTTAAGGAGTCTAGTTCAAAGGTCTCTAAGGAGATAGTCAAGATGCTCATCAAGTATGTTACAACTACTGGAGCATGATTCTCAATACACTCACCTCATACTTCCTTATTTCGTTACCAATTTTTTTTTCTATTGCCATGTCTGTGATATGCAAACGACTTTGCATTTACCTTCACTTCAAGTGTCTCTTTCTATCATATTGTTATAACGATTTGGCATGAATAAAACTGTCCAGAAAAGTTTAGAATTGTCTTTAAAGAATCCACAAACCAGTTAAAAATACGAGTACACTACTGATACACTTATCAAATATTTACGAACATGGCCACACAATCACCACAACGGCTATATGATCAAACTCCAAAGTACAACAACATTCTTCACAGTCATTTACTTTCCCACAATGTTTTGTGAAGTAAACCTTTGCAATGAATCTCACAGCTTCCATGAAAAAGCTAATTGTATCGACTAAATCTGAGTCAGCCATTTTCACAAGAGCCACTCATCGCCTCGATTCTCGCCTTTCTGCTGAACAGATTAAACAAAGGTAAATCTCAGTGAAACAATGATCCATATATCAATCATTTCAAGTCTACTCAGTCATGCACATGCCAATTCTGAACATTCTTTATATAAGATTAAGACAATCTTTATGTTCCTACGACTGATTCTGCACCTATTCAAACTTAAATTTTGATATTCAGGAAGTTAAGTACCTTCACCAAAAGGCTGTTCCAAACGAGTGACAATATGTTTCCCATAAGTGTACTTCTTCAAAGCAGAAGCGTGCATTCTGACTCTGCTAACCAATACCACACGCTGATCAGCACTACACGTCTCGAATATCTTCTGCACCACATAGTTCCCATACTGATCCTTCATCATCATCTGTTAAAAATGGTTTACAGTTTAATATACTTATCATTTTAAGATTAAAAAAATATGTATCAGGTTTGGTCCATTTTACTGACCAATAGACTATCATAACTCTCATCAGGCCCTGCAATCTCTTTGATGATGAGGTCTCGCTCGATTCTGCCACCATGCTCTAGACACTTCTCTATAACATTTGATGCAAATTTATGTAAGCTAAGCTGGACTATGTGCCCTGATAGTTTCCTCACGATCCTCTCTCGTTCTTCAGATGTCCCTTTCTCCAAGACATGCTGCCAAACAGCAACATTGGTTTTAAGTAATGATTGGTTGGAAACTGTGAGGTTTTGATTTCTTTACCTGTATGACATAATTGCCATATTGATCCTTGGAAAGGACACGTGCTGATTCAAGTATCTCCTCGGTGATGAACTGACACTGATGCTCATTTGAGCAACGCTCCATAAGCCTCTATACATAGTAAACACATTGTTCTTTGAGTAATAATGAGAGAGACAAAGATGAGAAGGAAACAAAATAGTTGTTTAAATGAGTTCTTAGTACCTGTATGACACGGCAGCCATAAGGATGCATAGAGAGAGAGGTAACTTGACCACGGAACGCAGATAACATGAAACCAACTCTGTCTGCAGGGATACTCTCAATGCATTTCTGGATCACATGGTTTCCATTTTGGTCTCTAACACATCTCATGACCTCTCCGTCAAGCTCACGTGCTAAACGAACTCTCTGATCAGGTTCTATGACATCAAGAGCCTACACCAGAACACATTAGTCAACTTTTTAAACAAACTCCAAGTCCAGAACAAAGTGAAGTGACTTTGTACCTTTTGTATCACGCGACAGCCATACATCTGCATACTAAGTGGTACTATCTGTCCCATGAGCTGATCAGCGAGTTCCTTTCTCTGTGATGTGTTTCCGTACTCGAAAAACTGAAACAGATATGGGAATAGAGTCTGAGAGACAATGCATTGTAAGACATCATAGGCTCTAAGTAGGAAACAAGACCTTTTGAATGACATAATTGCCAAACACATCTGTCATTAGTTTGCAAGCATGAGGAAGTAGTTCCCTGAACACAGCTTCTTTCTCTTCTGGTTTACAGTTCTCAATCTTTTGCTGAATGAATCGGCTCCCATGCTGATCCGCACTGTAAAAGAAACAAGGTTTTAATAAAAAGAGAGAAGCCAAGACAAGACGCAGTGAAAGAAAGATGAAAAACTTGCCTGAACTCAACAATGTGTCCTGTGATGTCTGATAAACCAAACCTCCTGCCTTTTCCAGACTTCAGATCTTCAAGAAAGTTGCACAATCTCGGACCATTGGTACCTTCCAAGCTTCCCTGAGGCTGCTGCCATCCAGGGTATGCCTCTACATAGGGAACATAGCCCGGTGAAAGAGGGGCAGTAGGCAGATATTGCACCATATTTGGCTGGACTCCATAATAATTAAGACCCATTCTACCCACACTATAGTTATTTGGTCCTCTTATTTGCTTCTGCTCATCTTTCTGAGGCTCATGAGCATTCTTATGGTTCCCCCTAGGAGCATTCATATGCCCGAATGGCTGTTGACTGTGATGCATATACATAGGATCTGGAAAAGAAGGTTGATGACCTGGTGGAGCATAGAAACTCTCAGCATACTGCACTTCACCTCTGTGGACTACATTCCCATGTAACTGAGGAATAAATTCTGGACCGACAGAGCCATGGGAAGGGTATCCAGGTATAAACTGTGGGTGTGGGATCATGTTAGTGTATGGTCCATAGCCATACTGTGGAGAGTAAACAGCAGGAGACTGCATGTTATAGACTTGACCTGGTGAAGTCACATAAGCCGTTTGCGTAGCAGCGTAAGGCTGAGGCTGAGGCTGAGTAAAGCCTGAAGACTGAAGCACATGCTGACCATCACCCGAAAACTTGTAAGGTGCTCCATAATGAAACTGCCCGGTCCCGTTAACATTGTGATAATTCATGTTGCCGCCACTTTGAACCCATGTTACATTATTTTGTTGCTGATACATCTGCCTTTCTGGCCTTACATTCCTTGGTTCCCGAGGGTGTTTAGCTGTCCCTGGCCCAGATATGTTAGTACTCTTCATCTTAGAGATGATAGTTGACTCATCAGAACTCTTCTCAATGCCAATTGAAGCTCTAATCACTGAAGCAGCATCATCTGAGATCTCTGAGAAGTTACCACTCTCATCTTTTGTGTTCATTTCACCATTTGAAGAGTTAGACCGACTATGTTGAGGGGTTAAACCAGAGGAACTATCATCCTGCAACCAAAAAGAGATACAACTTTAAACTTACTACAAGTATCAAAAACCTTGAAATTAACATGAACTTCGAGAAAAGGAAGCAGAAGCCAAACCTGCCTACCATCCACACCATTAGTCCTATCTGAAACACTATTAACAGATTGCTGTTGAGAGCTTTCATCCTCAGACACTTCCTTGTGAGTAGAAAGTGTTCCTTGGGACAAATGAATGGGAGAATCAACTCTATTCAGTCCCTGGTTACTTCTAATGATAGGGTAATAAATAGGTGGTGAAGGTGAGCGGGTCAGCTTGTGTTTATTAGGATGAGTGGTCAGTGGCTTCGAGTTATTACAACCTGAGCTGCCCTGTCGTGACAGGAGACTATCAACAGCTAGAAAAGATCCTTCCATGCTCGGAGGCGCACTTCCACTTCGGTTAGGAACAGAAACTGGCTTAGAATTAGACCACCTCTCGTTGTTACCAGACATTCTTATAGGATTCTCAGTAGCCATTGCTCCAAAGGTTATTGCTTTTCTTAGTCTTCTTTTTTCTACAACAAGAACAAGAATGAAGATTTAACAATTAACACAAACACTAAAAGCTCTCTTCAACCAAACTAATCCAAAGAAAAAAAATGCAATTCAAACACACTAATTCATCAAACATTATAAGAAAATAAGCTTGTTTGTGAAACCCATGTTCATAAACAGAGCAAGTGTGAATGTGTGATACATAGCTTATGAATCAAAATTCTCTATTTTTGCCTCAAGTTTATACATTTATCAAGGAAACAAGGAATAATCTGCAGAAAGTTTAAACCTTTATTCGAATTCGATTAGTAAAAGTGTATAACTTGAAAAAGTAAAGAACACAGAACAACTAAGAGCAGAAACTTAAAGACTGACATTTAAATCTTATCCAAAAAAATGCAATTCAAAGAAACTTTTCATAAACAGAGGAAACGATACACAGCTTCTTATAAAAACGTCTCTAATTTGCTTCAAGTTTGACCATTTCTCCATAAAACAAGTAAGAATACGCAAGAAAGTTTGAACCTTTTTTCGAAATCCAGTAGTAAAAGTGTATTAAAGTAAAGAACACAGAACCGAGAAGCAGAGCTAACAGAGAAGAAACAGAGTGTAAGTAAGAAGCAAACCAACAGAAAAACTTTACTCTCTTTCTTCTCTACAACAAGAACAAGAATAGGCACTTAACACAAACACCTGAGGATAAAAACACTCTTCAAACGAACTAATTAATCAACATGATAAGTCAAATAAGCTTTTCTTGCTTCACATGTTCATAAACAGAGCAAATTGATACATAGTTTATGAATCAAAAACCTCTAATTCCTCTCAAGTTTATTCATTTCTCAAGGAAACAAGCAAGAATCTGCAGAAAGTTAAAACCTTTATTCGAATTAGAGTAGTAAAAGTGTATAACTTGAAAAGGTAAAGAACACAGAACAACCAAGACTATGACATATCTAAAAAAACCATGTAAATAAATACTTCTAGAAAGAAAGAGTAAACCCAAAACAAGAAGCAGAGATACAAAGAGAAGAAACAGAGGATTTCTTATCCCAAAAGAACCCTAGAAACGAACTAAGAAGTGAAAAGTAGGGAGAGAGAAGAGGTAATTACTTTGGCTTACCAGAAGTTGGGGATTAGTCGAGAGAAGCAAAGAGATTTCACTGTAGACAAACCCTAGAGTCTGCGCTGCTCTTGTTAAATCGTCAGAGAGAGACAAGGAGGAGGAGAGAGAGAGAAGAGAGACAAGGGTATTGATTGCATTGGTGTCTTAAAACTTAAAGTGACTATCTTTGGTTAAGTCAGTCAGATTTTTTTGAATGTTTAGATTTTTTCCGGTAATGGCAATAATAAAGGCTATTTCTCACCGTTACGGTGTTTTCGTTCTTTTTTCCGCGAAGTTTTGTGGAGTTTTGACTTTGTTTTCATATTATCGGTTAACCAAAATATTATCCTTCTGTTTTTTCATTTTATATAAGAAATTGTTGTTGATGTAAAAAGAAAGGAAAAAAATGTTGTTTAAGAATCAAACTTGGTTTTTCGATTACAACTAGTTTTTTTTTTCATATTATCGGTTAACCAAAATATTATCCTTCTATTTTTCATTTTATATAAGAAATTGTTGTTGATGTAAAAGTAATTGAAAAATTGTTGTTTAAGAATCAAACTTGGTTTTTGGATTACAACTAGTTTTTTCATATTATCGGTTAACCAAAGTATCATCATTCTATTTTTCATTTTATATAAGAAATTGTTGTTGATCTAAAAAGAAAGAAAAAAATGTTGTTTAAGAATCAAACTTGGTTTTTGGATTACAACTAGTTTTTTCATATTATCAGTTAACCAAAATATTATCCTTCTATTTTTCATTTTATATAAGAAATTGCTGTTGATATAAAAAGAAATAAAAAATGTTTTTTAATAATCAAGCTTGGTTTTTGGATTGCAACTAGTTGCTTAACTAACCAGTTGAACACATTAACATAATGTTATGTTTAATAAATGTATGGGAAATATAATTTTAACAGTATAGAAATATCTTCAATATTTTGTAGAATATTTTTAAAACAGCAACATTACTTACAAGTTTTTGGTGAGACTGGGATAGCATAATATAATTGAAACATATAGAACAAATGTATGTATCTTAAAACTCGAAGAATTTTTTACGGAGCATGCACATACAGTAGTTAATGGAATTGATCTAAGGTATTCGTTTAAAGTTTAAACTCATATAAACTCTTTGGAACGCAATTCGGAAAAAAAAAAGACAAAGACAAAACAAAGTAATCCCCCACAAGCAGTACAAATTAGCACTCACATTTTCCTGATTTGTTGGTGACAGGAACCGAAACCGGATTAAAAATTACAAATCCAGAACGGTTTTTATTTATTTTTCTAAACCCGAAAAATCAAAACTGAACTCAAAACTGAATGGATATACAAATATTTTAAGTATAATTAAAATATTAGTTATTACTAGTTTTAATATATATATATATATACATATATATAATGTAATTTATAAATAAAAAATCTTCAAAAACCCGAATTACCCGAATATTTTTTTTGGATTTTTCCAGGTTTAACTTAGTTTTCAATTTTTTTTTGTTTGTTTTATGGGCTTTAAACACGAACCAACCCGAACTATTTCTAATTTGGTTCCATTTTAGATTTTGTAAAAATAATAGAGACATGAACCCGACATAACTAATCCGATTTGAAAAAATTTAGGTTCCTAAACTAGTTTTAAACATCCCAATCTAAATAACCCAAAAACCGAATAATCTAAACCAAACCGAACCAAAAATTTGAACGTCCAGAACTAGAGAAAAGTGGTGTCAACTTGAAACCTTAGACGTGAAGGTCAACTATTGTCTTCTTTACGGGTGAAACAGTTCTGGATTAGTGGTGATTCTTCGAACTTTTTATTACTTCTTAACCTTTTTGTTGGATTAATTGTCATGATACGTAAATTTCTAACAATCTTAAAACTAATTCATAAAAACATATAACCTTGATTTAGATTAATACAATACATGTTAGGTGAGAAGTTGCCAAATTGGCAATATTCCTGATAAATGGGAAATGAAGTATGACTAAAAAGTATAAACGTTAGAAAACAAAAGAGTTGGTTACACTATAAGACACATTTTGTCTTTGCCTTACATAATAAGGCACATTGCACATGTAACACATTTTTGTGTGGGTCAGCAGTAGATTCTGGACAATTGTGTCCTTAATGAACATTTTGTGTGGATGGATGATGTGTGGACGAGCGATGCGTGGACGGGCTTGAACGTTTTGTGTAGATAGATAATGTGTGGACGAGAGATTCGTGGATGGGAGATACATGAATGGGTGATGTGCGGATGGATATTATGTGAACATGCGATGTGTGGATGGGTGATGTAAATAAATATATAATAACCATATAAAAATCTACTTTGTTTTTCTTATTATTTTGATATCCATATACATATAATTTATATTTTACTGTTTTATTATTTTTTAATCATAATTTACTAGACATATTTTGTGGATGTGGACAAATAAAATATGGATAAAGATTTTGTGGACAAAATGAATCTGCACATTTAATACTTTGGGACCAAACTGAAATAAATAAAAATCAGAATAACCATTCTTGCAATTGTATGAAAGGGTTAGATTGCACAACTAAAATTCCTGGAGCAGATTCTTGAAGAAAATTGAATAAATTTGAAATTTGAAACACAATTGAGAGAAGCAAATAGTTGGAGGATCCGATGTTAAATAATAAATAATTGACCATTGTTGCTTTCTCTATGATCTGCGACGTCAAAACTTGGATCCGACGACGAGGCTCACCGACTGTCATAGAGAAGGAGCTTAGAACAGATATCAAAGATGTCTTATTGGAAATCAAGAGCTATTTGCGTTGGATTTGTTGTGATCATGGGAGAAGTCTCCAGATCGGTGTACAATAGTTCGAAAGATATGACCTTTAGGGAGTTAAAATCGGAATTCGAGTAGTGGTGGCGTCGGCGGTACTAGTGACAATTGGAGTAACAATGGAAACATGGTTATGTGGGTTTATCCTTCTAGAAGATAGCAAAGAATAAGTTTAAAAGTATCAGTCAACTATCTTCGTATTAAGATGATCATGTCTATAACTAATCTATAATTCTACTATTCACATTTTGTTGTCCATGTCCACACTTCAATTTCTTTGTATATTAATATATAATATATATATACATATATAAAAAATATGAATATGAATCTTAAAAGATAGAGAAATTTATATGTAATTTATTATGATAATTATGTTTTTTTAATATATTTTAGAACTTAAGATAAATGTAAATGAAAATAGAAAGTGAAATAAGAAGTAATAAAATAAAATAAAAAGAAAATAATAAAGTGAAAGAAAAAGAGTATGAGAGAGATGCATGTGAATAAAAAATATTAATAAAGACAATGAGATAATGAATTAGATAACGTCATAAGAGTCTTTTACATAATGAAAAATGTGTTACAAGTACAAAGTGCCTTATAATATAATTGGAATGTGAAAGGTACCTCTTGATGTAAAAAATTCAAAACAAAATACTAATATCTATGCTCTCGATCCGTGTTAAAAAAAAAGTCGATGCTCTCGAACCATATATTTTAAGTAAATAATTTTATTCTTTTTTTTTACGCAAACAAGAATACAGGACGTGGCCAAGGAAATAACATTTTTTCACACAGAAAGGATAAATAAAATATTCACAAACAAACACAATAATTTTACTCTTATTAATTAAGAAAATGTATAATTGGAGTTTATGAACAATCTGACCAATTCTGCATTAAAGCTTTAGTCCTAAACCAAAACCAAAACACTCTAATTATTATGGTTTATAACTAGACTGGTCTACAACAACAAAGGTATATAAAATTTTAGCCAAAAAAAAAACAAAGCTATATACATGACTCTATATAAACTTGATTGCTTGAGCATTATATAAACATTTTTCTTATTATCTAATCAATAATTATCAGAAAAACATTTAGAAAAGCTTCTACACATCCTGATGCCCTCTAAATATTATTTACACAATGCTCTCGGTATAGAATTTTTGATAGAGCATTTGTAGTTATAATATATAAAATTTTAAAAATAATTAGATATATTGACCGCACAGAAAACTGCATTTGACCACACAAAAATAAATTTTAAATATTAAAGATAAAATTTAATCACATAACTAAAATGTTAATACTTTTATCATTAAAATTTGGATTTATATTAGTTTCAAACCTCATTTTCCTATACTTACCAAAAATATAAAATCACTAACCACATTTTGTTAGTTTAAACTTTAGTAATATGTTAGTTTAAGCCTATATTGTACTAGCCCAATTAATTCATAATATAGAAACATTAAAAATGAGTAAACTTCAAAAAGAAAAGAAAAAAAAGTTATGTTCCTCTTCCTCTCCATACAATTCGTTAAAATTCTCAACTCATGCTCTATAACTATTTTCTAGTTAAAATTTAGGTTGGTTTTCTATATATTTTTAGCTGATAAAACTATTATAAGTGTGTGTAGAGTGGAAATGTTATGGTCGTATGATTATGTTTGGAAAGATTTTAGAAACAGAGATTAGTTTTGTTTTTCATTGTTGCACCTTTTCTGTTCTTAAAACCCTGAAAACACAGAACATTAAACAAAAATACAAGTAGAAACGTTTTGTTAGTTTAACTATATTCTTACATTCATAAAATAGAAAGCGTGTGTTTAGAATACATTTGCATTTTTCTTTTTGAAAAAATAAAAGTTAAACATGGATCAATTAAAGACACAGATTTAACCACCGGATGGAAGTAGGACCCTCTCCTAGACATTCAAATGAACTAGGGATGGGCGTTCGGGTACCCGTTCGGGTTCGGGTCGGGTATTTCGGGTTTTCGGGTATTTCGGTATTGGGGTATAGAACCCGTTCGGGTATTTTTACATATCGGGTTGGGTTCGGATATTTTTAGTTCGGGTTCGGTTATTTCGGGTCGGGTTCGGATATTTTGATTTTGAAAGAAAATTTCAAATTCTTTATTACTTAAGTTTCATGTATTTAAAATTTAACTATTAACTTAACTGTTTTAAAAATGTTTAATAAGTTAGACGATTAATAATTTTGAAAATAATTTATTGAAAATAAAATTCATTATTTTGGTTGTTATTTTTGAATTTTGGATGCAAATTTTGTTTAAAATAGGAAATAAGAAGCTTAATATGCATTTTAAATGAGTAACAAATTATTTTTTTTTTACAATTATATGTATATTATCTGATCTTAAATTATATATAACATTAATATAAATATTTTTAATAAAATGAGATAAATAAACTAGGAATAAATAGGTATATATACATATGTTCGGTTATCTTCGGATACCCGTTCGGGTTCGGGTAATACCCGTTCGGGTTCGGATATCCAAACTCTCCTAACTCAATACCCGTTCGGGTATTTTGCTATTTCGGTTCGGATTTCGGTTCGGATATTTCGGGTCGGATTCGGGTACGAGTTCAGGTATCGGATAAAGTGTCCACCCCTAAAATGAACCGAAAGCAATAATTCATATCTGCATGACCATATATAGAGTTAATAATTTCACATTAAAGTTAATAATCTCACATTAAGGGGAATGATCTCTGATCTGGATCAACAGAGAAATTTTTCCTAGACCACCACGATGTGGTTTACATTTGTAATTTTCTGTGATCATAAATTATGTTTTGATTTTTTTCCGATTCCAATACAGAAAATTTTCTAGTTTTGCGACTGCTTGGGTTCATGGCCACATTTAGTTCTTGTATGTCTTTGCGCAAAGTCAATAGCTCTATATTACATGTAGTATGGATCTTCACCTTCCAAAGAGAGAGTGCGGCTCATGATCTCAAGTTCAGTTTCGCTGCTAAGGTGAAGCCTTATTATTGATAATTGACAAAATCAAAACAAAATCAAATTAATTAATGTTCGTAAGCAGGTCTTCCGGCGTCGTGGTAGGAACAAAACATCGACTGTCCTAAACGTTAAATGCGTTGAAAGAACTTATTAATCCGTTGTTTAGACCATCCACTTGGAAACATTATGTTCCCTTACCCTAAAAACTTTTTTTAAAAAGGTTCAAGAGTCGTGAAGCCAACTCAAATCCAACACAAACTAGAAATGTGGATACATTTGAGAAAATTTATGAATACTCTAATAACAAAATTAGGACTGGGCATTTTATCTGTTATATTTGATTCGGTCCGTTATTCGTTTCGATTCGATCCGAAAATTCCGGATATCCGTAAACTTTCGAATCAAAGCAAATACTAAAATTCAATATCCGTTAAAATCGAAGCAAATCACAAATATTAAAGTTTTGGAAAGCGGATATCCGATCCGATCCGTAAATATATAAATATATGTATATTTGATTATATTTAAAATTTTAATTGTATAAAATTATATAATTATTATTTTAGCACATGATTTTGAACAATTCTATTCAAATTATTACTTATATAAAAGTATTACATAAAAAGAGATAAAATATTTTTGACAATTC